ATAATAATTGCATAGAATTCAAGTAAAACATGTCTCATTTAAAATTTAAATTTTAAAATCCTTGTCATTTTGTTACATTACCGGATGATTTGTTTCCCATAACATCGGACAGAATTAATAATTACATAGAATTCAAGTATGATTTCGAATTTGTATCAAGGATGTTTAATAAATGCATAGAATTTCAAAGATGTTTATTTATTATAAAAAATATTAAATTCTAAAAAAAATTGTGTATATTTTGTAAAATGTTTGTACAAAATGTTTTACTTTAAATGTATTTACATAATTTAAATTAATTACGTTAATAAATAATATTAACATATATTAAATATTTTTAATTACATAAAACAAAAAGAAGAAGGAGATTACATCTATAACATGTATAAATAATAATAATGACATTATATTACAATAAATTTTATAATAAAATAATATGAGTATTATACGAGGAACAAGATTACGAAAAATTGTTATTTTTCTTATATCAAGGAATAAATATATATAATGAAATCAAATTTATATTCTTATAAACATGTGAGCTAGATAATATATTAATTAATTTACGGGCTAGGCTATCAGGCTCAGGTTTAATGTCCCGACAAAAAAATAAAGTTGATGAAAAGAGGTAAAAAAAACTAGATAATCAAACTATATCATTTTTTAGGTCTGAACGGACAAGCCCTATGGTTCACTCATTTAATATCTCGCACGAGCTACTTAAAGGACAAGCTATGTGGAAATGACTCATTTAATACTTCTGTCCCGTGCATCGCACGGGAACGTACTAGTTAACTTTTTAATGGTCATTCATCACATCTATTAATATATAATAAAGATTAACATAATTCACTTTTAGAAACTTTTTCCCGCCAATTTCATTAATTATTGCCTAAAAATAGTAAATTAACAAAATTGCCTAAAATCACTCTTAGTATTGTTTTAACAATTCGGCCTAATAAATAGCGAGCATTAATTGCAATAGATAATATAGAATAAATCATTATATTTATGGAATCCCGCCATTACATTAATTTTTTCACGCCAATGCATTATTTTTTTCACAATTCGGACGCAAATTTTTTCCTTTTTTCTTTCACAATTCGGACTCTTTATTAGCATATTTATTTTTTTTTATTTTTTTTAGGAATACATTAAAAAAATATGGAATCAAAATCCAAATAAATCTCCTCTTTTTGTGGCTCCATATAAATCTCCTCTTTGAAGGCCGCATATCCTGCGTTTAATAAGGTGTCTGCAAAAAAAAAAAAAGATTAATTAAAACGGGAAATTTACATATATAGACACCCTCTAATAGATATTTACATATAAACGTTCAATATAAACTTTCATCACATTGGGATTTTGATGTAATCATTTTTTCATATCTACGATATGAGCGCTCATAATTTTATCTCTCTCCATATTACACATGCATTAATTTAGGGATATTAGATTTCCTATCTGCCCATAATTTTCTCTCTCTCCATATTAAACATGTATTAATTTTGGGATATGAGATTTCTCACTTGCTCATAATTTTCTCTCTCCCCATATTAAACATGCATTAATTTAGGGCTAAATAATCGCAAGCAAAAAAAAGAAAAATCGCAAAAAAATAAATAAAAAATCTGATTTTAAAAGTTCAAACGGTTAATCGACATCTTGAATTCGAAAAAAAAATCATCCAACCGCCAAATATATGTTTAGATATACTGTATATATATAATATATAAACATGATCAGACAGTACTCTAATATTAACCATATAGTTATACATAAAATAAACATTATATAAACAATTCTGAAACGAGATAAAACATAATACAAAATTCCGAATTATTTCAAAATCCAAATCAAATGTAATTATACATAAGATAAACAACATAACCACCAAATATAAGTTTAGATATAGTGTATATATACATCAGATAAACATGGTCTGGCGGTTCTCTAATATTAACTGTATAGTTATACATAAGATAAACAACATATAAACAAACAATTATGAAACAGGATAAAACAGAATACACAATTTTGAATTACTGCAAAAATCCAAATAAAATTTAGTTATACATAAGATAAACAACATATAGCAACTCTGAAACGGGATAAACATAATATATCTTGACATTAAAAAAAGTGAGATTCTAAATATATATGACATCTAAATAGCATCAGCTTAAAAATACATAAACGTCCACTGGTACTACTGATGGCCGAGTTTCCTCCACTGGGTCGAGCAACCGCGCACTCATGTTAGGCAAGCATCAACCTTCGAGAGCCTCCGTCAGTGCGGGTCTCGGGCGATGCGCTGCCGCTCGTAGCCCGACCAAACTGGACCTCCATATATCCAAAATTGAAAGGTAATTTCTAAAAAAGAAGAGATGAGGGTGAGAGAGAGAGAGAGAGGGGTAACTTCGGTTGTCGTGAGAGTCGGTTTCTTGGAACCTTTCAGATCTCGTTTCTAAAATTGAAGCTTCTTTTGGATGACCTTATGCTCGAGTGCTTGAAATTGAGATGTTCAACGAGATCGGTAGCGTATTAATCTTGTTTCGTCTTCAGTGTTGACGGATTTGGCCTCACTTTTCTTTTTCTTGGCCATTGAAAATTTATGGAGTCTGTAGTGGTTTTCTTTTGTTTTTAGGGAAGATAAGTTCTTGCAATTTTTCTGTGAAGATGTTACACGACAACCAAGATTGTGAGAGAGAAAAGCAATATTTTGTTATTGATTTAGTGTTATGTGTGCAAGGAAAGAGAATATCTCTCCTCCCGATTATCATGCAATGAGATAACCACCCTCCTTATTTACAATTTTCTTTAATTAAATACATAGTTCGTAATTGTGATGAAAAGATGAATATATCGTATTTTTAATAATATTTAGTAAATCAAGAGTAAGAGGCGTAATTTTCTCAATTAAAACTGATCCATAATTATTATCAATCACTTTTGGTTAAAATCTTACCAATATCTTTCCATTTAAATAATTTTCATCAATCACTTTTTTGCTAAAAAAAGTTGTATAAAAGGATATTCACTATCACCATGATTTCTTGTGAAAAATAGCTATTTTCACCCCGTTTTGAAGTCCTGCTAAGTTTTTCACACCGCCCAATAAAAAGCTAAGTTTATCACCCCAGAAAGTGTGAAAGACATTGTGCGATGAATATGCGATAATTGCGCGATGACATCGTGCGAAAATTAAAAGTACGAAGGCATTCGCATATCATTCGCACTTTCTGGGGGTAAAAAAGTTAAAGTGCGAAAGGCAGTATGCGATGAATATGCGATAATTACGCGATAACATTGTGCGAAAGTTAAAAGTGCGAAGGCATTCGCATATCCTTCGCACTTTCTGGGGTGAAAAAAAGTTAAAGTGCGAATGCATTGTGCGATGAATATGCGACAGTTATGCAATTGATATGCGAAAATTATGCAGTCCATTCGCATAACCTTCGCACTTTCCGGGGTGAAAAAGTTAGATTGTTAGTGGGCGGTGTGAAAAACTTAACATATCTTTGTATTGAGGTGAAAAAGATTTTTTTTCCCTATTTTCACTTCATTCACAACTTTCAGAGAAAAACAAATACAGAGATAAATTTCAGAACACATCGATAATATAATGTCGCCAGTGTGGGATACACTCGATTCCGTGAGTAGGACAAACAAACCTTATTTGCGTTTGAGAGCAGTCCGAATAATTGAAACGCATCACGAACGGGAGAGCTGGAACGTATTCCATATACTGTTTCATGATGAACAGGTAAATATTTTCATTTGTAATATCAAATTTATATAATTTGAAAAAATATTTTAATTAATATATATATATATATATATATATTTATTTTGTAGGGTGCATTTATTAAAGGCATAATACGTGCTACAAATATGAGAGCATTTCGAGGTGTACTAAACGAAGGCGAGGTGTTCGGGAACGCCGAACCATGAGTTGCATTTGAAGATAGGAAATCCAGTCATGTTGTTGCGAAACATGGACCATTCTATGGGTCTGTGTAATGGCACACGTTTGGTTGTTACGAAGCTCTCTCCGCATGTTCTTGAATGTAGGATATTGACTGGAGATCACACAGGTGAGAAGGTGTTGATTACTCGGATGAACATAACTCCTTCTGATGTTAGGGTTCCGTTTAAGTTCGAGCAGAGATAATTTTCACTTATAGTTTTCTATGTCATGACCATAAACAAGAGTTAGAGTCAGTCTTTATCACATATAGGACTGTTCTTGAAAAAAACTGTTTTTAGTCATGACCAGTTATACGTCGCTGTTTCATGTGTTACTAATAGGAAGGGGTTGAAAAATATTATTTTGTGGGGACGATGAGTTACCCAGTAATCAAAACTAATAACGTTGTATATAAGGAGGTTTTTAATAATGTATAACTTTTTACCAACAACGAATTTATGTTTACTTTATGAATGTCATACGTATTATGATAACTTATTAATTAATGACCTTTTAATATTTTTTTTTTCCAAAACATGTACTAGTTCGTGTATCGCACGGGTTACATACTAGTATTAAGAAGTATCTTAATCTTTAGAATTTAAATTTTTAGTTTCTTTTTTGGAAAACTCTCAAATTGAAAGTTTATTCATCTCAGTTAATTTTAGTGTCATCTACACTGATAGAAACAAAAAAATTTAAAATTGATAATTCTAAAATTTTCAACATTTAAATGAATAAAATTTGTCTGTATAAGAAATTATAAGCATTGATATTTTATGTCACTTAACTTAATAATTGTTTATCAAATACACAGACCTGCAAACAACCGACTAGTTTGATATATTTTATATATATTAAACAAGATAGAATTAGGAAAACCGTTTTTCCCTTTCCTTGGCGACCAAGAAAAAAATCCGCACTATATATATATTGCCTCTGCAACGCTCAGTCCCTCGTTCTCTCACCAATCTCTCAACAACGCTCAGACTCAGTTCCCCGAATCTCTCTCTCTCCACAGCAAGAAAAAATGGATTCTTCTGCCACCACAACAATTTCTCTCGTCGGCCCGCCGGAGATCCACCGGAAGTCTACTCCTCCCGCCGCCGTCACCGCCACCGCCCCCACCACGACGGGAAATCCGTTCATGGACCTCATGGTGGCCAACTTCAATAAGACGGCGGTCCCGGCCCCCGTCCCACCCATGGGCTTCACCGAGAACTTCTCGCCGACATTCCTTTCCTCCGGAAATCCCTGTCTGGACTTCTTCTTCCACGTCGTCCCCGACACGCCGCCGGAGGCCCTCGCCCAGTGCCTGAAGCTCGCCTGGGAAGACGACCCGCTGAAGGCCCTGAAGCTCGTCTGCAACCTCCGCGGCGTTCGCGGCACTGGCAAGACCGACAGGGAGGGCGGGTACACGGCGGCCCTGTGGATCCACAAGAACCACCCCAAGACCCTCGCCTGCAACGTCGCCCCCCTGGCCAAGTTCGGCTACTTCAAGGACCTCCTCGAGATCCTCTTCCGCCTCGTTGAGGGCCCCGACGCCCGTACAGAGGCTAAGGCCGCTTACCGGAGTTGGAAATCGAGCGGCTCACGCCGGGCTCGCGAGCTTGCCAAACGCCGGCAGGCCAAAAAACCCAAGCAG